CCCCCCCCCCCCAGACGCCAAGCTAGGGAGGGAGCTCTGGGCCAAATTCTGCCTCGTGGTGGCTGAGTCTTAAACGCTACCCTTCTGTTTTCTAGGTGGAGGAACTCAGCTCCTATGAATTCTTTCTTCCACCTTTGCCCATGAACCTCCAAACTCTCTCCCAGTGTGCTTTTCTTCATTACCAGAAAGGAAACAGACTCAGACTCAAGGCTGGCCAGGAAAAACTGTCCAGCTGGAGCAATCAAGAGAAGGCCCACAGCTCAGCACGGTCCTAACTCAGTCTCCCGGCTTCTTGCACATTTCCTTGCAGCTTCATGGGGATTTCTAGGTATTTTCTTATAAGGGGCCGCAAGTTCCTGAAAGCAGGAACTACTCTTAACTCCTAACCCAGTCCCCTTCAGTGTGGAAAGATGATAGAGAAGCAGCTCTGAAGACATGCGCATTTAGAGCTGGGTTATGGAAAAAACTCAGCTCTGCCTTTATGTAGAGTTTAAATCCCACACTTCATCAGAAGAGTTGCACTATCATGGCCAAATCATCTGAGTTCTAAGTCTTAGTCTGTCTCTCTCCTTTCGTCTCTTGTCTCTGTCTTTTCCCCCCTTCTCCTCTCCCTTTTCGTCTCCCGGCTTGCAAAACAAGACTTCCTAGCATTCACTCAAGGGATCCATGCGTCAGGAGAATGGATGAAGACAAAACAGGTGGGAAAAGCAACCAGGGCGGTGGGTGCACTCAGAGAGGCCTGGACTTCTTGGAGCAGCTCAGTGGCTACCAATGCATGGCCTTGTTTCTTTCCCTTGTGTCCTGAGCTTGTCCCAGGATACAAGGGCATTTTAGGTCATGAACTTTCCCAGGCATCTGGGAACTCTGGAACGGGAAGTGTTTGTTACTATGTTCCCAGGATGTAGCAGCTATGTAATAAGTATTTGCTAAATAACCAATAGATGAACACAAGTCTATGGAAACAGAACAGCCTCTTTCCATGTAATGAGCCTGAGATTCCTGGAAGCGTTGAGCCCTGGTGTCCAGGACCTGAGCAGAGAGAGTACTGCCATGGGTCATCTCTGGTCATGCTCCTCACTTCTGGAAAAGTCCCCCTGTATTTGAATGTGGTTCTTCATTTAGTATTTTATTTATCTTTGCATCATTGGGAGGGAGGTCCATAGAGCTAGAGAGAACTGTCTCTGAGAAACCAGTAATCACTGCTTGCCCCCAGAAACATGCAAGTAGCTAATGAATGCATTTCCCTGGAGAAGTGGAGGCCAGGCAGAGGGACCCTGGAGCCGCGGGCTGCAGACTCTCAGGGCCAGTGTGAGGCTGGAATGGTGAGAGAGGAGTTCACCTCCCGTCTGCCCTCATGGGTTCGTGTTATGCTGTGGCTATGATCTACACGAAACAAAGAACTCACAGCTATGTTTGGCTCCACAACTAAAAAAAGTGAAAGAAACAGAATACCCCACACTTGAATGAATTTATTTTGTCATGTGGTGCTGGGGATGGAACCCAGCCCCTTGCACTGAGCTTCAACCCTGTTTTTTAAATTTTTTTTTGACAAAGTGTCTTGCCAAATCATGAAGTTTCCTAGGCTAGGCCTGAGCTTGTGATCATTTTGCATCTGCCCCCAGAGTGCTGAAATAAATTTTTAATACAAAAACCTAATTGTTTCCTTGTAACCAAGACAACACATTCATTCATCAAACAAATATTTATTGAATGTTTATTATTTGCTGTACACTCTTCTATGCTCTGAGTTTACAGCACATAGAAAACAAGTCTGCTCCCCACAGAGCTTCCTGTTAATCTATGATGGTCTCAGTTTGCCCATTTTGTGTTGTGTTGCTTTTCAATCCAAAGATTCATGCAGTATGTTGGAATACACTCTTGAGTATTGTTCCTTCAAGACTCCAAGACTTTTACTTAGGGTGGTTTACATTTCCAATTCCTGGAGCTAATGTAGTTACTAGAGTTACTTCTGAATTCACAGTGAAGCACTACTCTGCCATAAAAAGATAAATCTGAGTCATTTGTAGGAAATATGGGTGCACCTTGAGACCATAATGCTAAGTGAAATAAATCAGACACACAAACTTAAATATCACATGGTTTGCCTTACATGAGAAACCCAATTTTTACAAATGAAGAGCAAAGTGAAAATAAAAGATAAGTGGAGAAATAGATCTTCTCATCTGGGAAGGGCAGCAAGTTGGAGGGAGCAGGAAGGGAGTGGAGAGAAGGGGAAGAGTTACAGGCACGTGCACACACCCGTTCTGCTGCAGGTTGCCGACTACATCCAGGGGGCGTGCACTGAGGAAGAAGGGACAAGCCATTCTAGCTAGGTATGTCGGTGTGACCCTGCCCTTCTTCCTGACGGACTCTCTCTCTCTCTCTCCCTCTCTCTCTCTCTCTCTCTCTCTCGTTTTTCCCTTTTCACATAGAAGCTTTCTGATGAGGTAGGTAGGGATACACAGACTCAGCTGCAGTGCTGCCCCGGAGCGTGCCTTCTCTTTGCCAGAGGCACCAGCCCTGCCTTGAACTCACTTGTGGTCTGGCCCCAAGCTGGCCTCAGTGGGCAGGGCCTAAGGTCAGACAGCACGCAGGGACCCCAGCTCTCAGGCAACCTCCTCTCTGGTGCTGCAGACCCAGGCAAGTGTGCCGAGGGCTCCAGCAGCAGAAGAGGCACCAGGGGAAGGAATGTTTGAAGTGACTTGTGAGACTTGGTACCAGCAGTCTCATGGAATGGCAGACATTTGTTGAAGATCTTTGCACTTATTTCCTAAACATATGTGTGTGTGGTTGGGAGCTGCTGTGACCTTTCAGTACTTGGTGCCAGAAGTCTTAGTTTGGCCTGGTTACTTACAGCTGGAGCTGACAATGTCAAAGCTTGGTCTGATTGTGATCCTTTGAAAAACACAAGTGATAATGTTTCCCACACTTTCCCCAGGGTAATTCTGGGCCTCTCACAAGGTGTGCAGAGCTGTCAGTCTGGCCTTCTCAGTCCCACTCCTCCCTCCCTTCTTACCTTGGAGTTTTGCACACGGGACAAGGTTGTGCTCACCTCCTTTTCAAGGTTTCAGGCTCTACTTCATAGAGGTTTTCCTGCTCACCCTAGCAAAGCATCCCCACCCCACTCCCACAGGGCTTGATGTCAGTACCTGATTTGCTGGCTGACAGCTGCCTCTGTGTGTCTGCACGCCTGACTGGGGAGCCTTGCTGTTGTGGGGCAGCACTGTGCAGTCAGGATAAGGCCCTGTGCCTCCCTACTGGGCGGTTCCTCAAGTAGGCATCATATGGATGGGGTAAAACAATGCCTGAATGAATGTAGACATTGCCTAATCCCATTCTGTTAAGATTTTCCCAAGAAAGCATGCTCATAACTTCCTTCTCCACTGTGTGTTTTCCTGTCATGCCAGTCATTAGCAGTCTGCTCAAAGTCCATGAGCATCTACTTTCAGCTTTTCACCTTGCTTCTCTTAATTCCCATTTCACCCTGCCCCTCCTCTCCCCTCTGTTCCCCTCCAGTCTGTCTCTCCCTGTCTCTGTCTCTGTCTCTCTCTCTCCTTCCTTCTTTCCCTCCCTCCCTCTCTCCCTTTCTCCCTCTCTCCCTTTCTCCCTCTCTTCTCCCCAACCCCCTCATCCTGGGAATCGAGCTCAGGCCTTTACACAGGCCAGGTGGTCACTGTCCAGCTGAGCTATATCCCCAGCCCCTTAATTCCTGTTTTCTTGTTGTACTTCAGCCTTATCGTCTCCTACTGTAGTGACCTCCAGCGTATTTCCCTTATCTTTGGTGAATTATTTTTCTCTCAGTAGTGGTGAGTGAACTCAGGGTCTCAAGCATCCTAGGCAAGTACTCTACCACTGAGTCACATTTGCAGCCCTGGCAAATTCTTTCTCTGATCCTTCCTCTGCACAGCCTCCAGAGAGATCTTTCTAGAACATAGGCTGACATCACTGCAGGAAGCCTTCATGGTGCCAGCCTCTTCCCATATTCCCCATATCTTTATCCACAGATTATAAAACAGCTCAGAAAAACTTGTGAAGAGGCAGAGAAGACATTTTCAAAGCCTTCTGCTTTGATATTTTCCTCGAGGAGCAGGAACTCCTGCTAGGCTGCAGCATCCTCACTGTAAAAGGTCTCCAGTTCTGCCTGGTGTCATTGACACAGACTATACAGGGCAAGTCAGATTCGTGATTCAAACTATTTGAAGACACTATTCAAGTTGTGCCTGGCTCTTGTATTGCTCAATTGGTCATTCTTTCTTGGCCAAAAAATGGAAAATCTATAAATAAGAAAAGGGCAACCAAGGGTTTCAGGTCCTCTGATACTTACTGGGCTCAACAAATTCAACAACATCACCCAAGAGGGAACTGATTATTGAAGGAAAAGCCTTCTAAGGGCTTTTAGACACAGGTACAGATGCTTCAGTTATTGTCTGATGTCATTGGCCTACAACATGGCTCCTGGATGCAGCAACTGCAAATCCAAAGTGTGGCCAGTGCTTCTCACTTTAGCACAGTTGCTCAATTGGTTTCCTGGAGGGAGACTGAAGGCCACCTTGAACATTTTTCACCTTATGTCTTCCATCATACACCAGTCTGTCTATGGAGTCATGACATATT